CTCCCCGGGCACCCGCCGGCGCTCAGCCCTGCCTGCCCAGGCCTGCTCCCGCTGCCTGCAATAATCTGCGTTTTACGATACAATTTGCAACCGCTTTACAGCCTCAGCTCCGGAGTGTCTCCTGCAGAGGAAAAACGCTTTCTAATGAGATCTTAAGGGAGGCAGCCGCACACAGTAATTATAACATGAGTGGCATTCGAAGAGCAATCATCTGATGGCATCTTAAATTAGGTGGTTGCCCCATAAACGTGGCAGATGTGATCCTCCTCTCCCGACTGCTCAAAGGCTGAAGGACGGGCAGAGGCCTGTGGGTGGGACTCGCTCTGCGTGACGGCGCGTGACGCACCGGTGGACGCCAGGACTCCCCCCACAGCGAGCACCCCCGCACGGGGAAGGGACCCCGGGGCTCGGCGAGGGGGGAACGGGGATCTGCTGCGTGCTGGGATGGGCTGAGAGACCCGGGGCTGGACCCCCAAATCCCACCGGAGCAGTTCTGGGCTCAGCACCAGGGACCGTTTCAGCTTCATCCGCAGGATGGAGGAGGAAGAGGAGCCAAGCTGCTGACAGAGCACCCCCTGCCCCTGCCCGCCTGGCTGCTGGGGGGACGGGGACGCGTCACTCGCAGCCGTGCGGTGGCAGCTGCCGGCCCGCGGCAGCAGCATGGCCAGGGTGGTCTCAGCCCGCGGCGCCCGGGGCAGAGGCAGGACGGGCCCAAAGGGGCACCCCGGGGACACCCACACGCACCCCGTCCCCAAGGGGCAGTGGACGGAGCCCACCCAGGGCTGCTGGCTTTCACGTGCAAAACCTTCCTGAGGGGCTGCCCCTGCCCTCAGCCCAACTGTCCCCTGCAGACAAGGTCCACGTCCCCTCCCCGGGTGGCCCCAGGGGGCCCCTTCTGGCCGCAGGCTCTTGGGGTGCCGCCCCGACACCCCCCCACACTCCCCCTTATCTCATGCACAAACCTGAGCTCTTACCTTGCTTGCGAGCTTCCTGCTCTTTTATTTCCAGGTCGTGGGTGAGCTCTGGAAGAGAAATCAAACGGGACTGAGAAGGAGCATCCCACCCATCCCGCGTGCTCCCCGTGTCCCCCCCGCTCCCCGCCAGGGCACTGGCCATCGCCGCAGCTGTGGCTCTGCCTCTGCCCGGCCCACGCTGTGAGAGTGGCCGTCTCGGAGCACCAGCCACAGACTGAGCCAAAAATACAAGGATTCTGGCAATTTCTACACCATTAAGCAGCCTCGGGTTTGGCACCTGCCACAGGGCCTGCCCCGCGGCGGAGGGGCAGCCCCCGTATCCCTGGCAAGGCCTTTTCTTTTTCTTTAGAGAGTTGCTGAACCATTTTTGGTGCTTTAAATCGGGACAAAGAGCAGAGCAATGGGCGGAAAACAGGCCAAAGTGTAAGCTGCCACCCAAAGTCTTTCATCATTTACTGCTTCCAGGCCGATCTCTGCCTCTGCACGTGGCGCCAGCGGGACGGCCCCGGCCCCGCACGATGTGCCCGCGGGAGGACGCTGCCCGGCTCCGGAGGCAACACGTGGCTCCAGAATCTCCCTGGGGAGCCAGAGCTGCTGGTTGTGGGACGTGGCTCCTCGGGGCCGCGGGGTGCAGACGTGCCACCGCGGGACACGGGCTGCGTCCCTGCGACTGTCCCCTCTCGGGGCCGGGAGCCGGGGGCGGGGGATGCAGTGTACTGGTAGCCATGGTTAACGATTAACGCGGTCAAGAGCGATAAGAAATTCATAAGGAATAGGCTTTGATCTCCAAGCCCTAGAAAATAGGTAGAATGTCCTGGACGATCAAGAGAATGGCTGGGATTGTGCTGAGGATGAGTTATTTGACAAGCTGGCACGGCGACTATTCAATTACTTGGCAACAAAACTCATTTTTGAGCATCCTAAGGTGAGCTGCTTCCATTATACTACTAAAAACCACACCCACAGGTCCAAGAGACCCCCGCCCAGCTTAAGACCCCTCCCCTGAGCGTGCGTAGTAGTAGAAGCCTTATGCAAGCCAAATTATAATTGTATGTTAATCACTAACCAATCAGTATCTAACAGGCGTGTTTGGAAAAGCACTAACCTCCGATTTTTGTGTATAAAGGGAGCGTGAAAACCTGCTGTTGGGGTTCTTGACTGGTGGAAAAGTTCCCCAAGCACCCAGTCCTGAATAGAGGAACCCTGGTGAGAGTGTTAGGATGGGTCACTGCACACCAGGCCCCCGGCTGCAGGCAGAGCTGCCCTGTGCCCGTGCTGCACCTCCAGCCCCGACACGCTGCCTGCTCCCTGCCTGCTCCCTGCCTGCTCCCTGCCTGCTCCCTGCCTGGCCCCGCGCTACAGAACCAGCTCACAAAAGGCAGCGAGGGAGGGAGCTCGGGGACTTGCTGGAGTTCACTTTCCCCTGCACGCTCTCACAGACCATCTCTTCTGAATTAATTGTCAGCCCACCAAGCCACCAGCAGCTCCAAGAGGAGGAGAGGAGGGGCAGCAGCAGCGTTCAGTTGTTTTGGGGCTTTTTCTTCCCTGAAAATGAGTTCAAACGGTTAATCTTTGCCCTACATTTTTCTTTTAATCTGCTTTCCTGCTGACTCTAATCCTCATCACTGCCATCCTTCTGAAACGAAACGCTTGGCTCAGCCTGCTCTGCCCGTCTGTCTTGGGAAACAAATCTGTAGTGAGAAGGCAGAAGTAACTGAGGAGGTAATGCAGTTTCTGGAAAGCTTTCAGCTCTCCCGACTGCCCCACTGGAAATCAACGGCAACTGTGGTATTCTGCCGAAGCTAAAACAATAGGTTTGGAGTCTCCGATATATTTGAAATGAGAACTAAAGCAGTTGCCCATTTCCAAAGGGGATATCGCCGTGCTGAGCGAGCGCAGGGCTCGGGGACGATGCACACCCCGGGGTGCCGGCTCCTGCGCTGGGGCCACGGGGGCTGGTGGGAACCTGCCCCAGGACCGTCCCCACAACCCCCGAGGGGCAAATCCAGGGGTCACCACCCCACAGGGCTCCCCGAGGCCCCGGGCCTGAGCGGCAGGGGGGATACAGAAGTGCTGGTGCCCCGACGTGTGAGGGTGCGGAGGGCCCGTCGGTGCAGCCCGGCCGGGCAGCTTTGGTGTCCATCACCCGTGGGGACCCCCCCAAAGCCCACGCGGTAATAGCCAACTGTGCGACGGGCCCATTCCTGCCCCCGGGGACTCCGAACCCCCCGGCCCGATTTAGGCACGAGAACTCCGCTGTCTCGCCCGTCTGCAGAGGCCGTGAAACAACGAAACGGAACAGCAAAGGCTCGGACAGGATGGGGAAAACCAGACAACGTTATGAGCGCAGACATGTCTTTGTTTCCCACGAATCAGGGAGGAGGAGAGGCTGGAAGACAAGGAGTGATTAGCTACAGCTGAATTATTGATGAGGGAGAGGGCACAAGTTGGAATGAGTTTCAGTGGCGGGCAGGAGGCCGGGGGGCCAACGCTTTTGCTGAAGGGGAGGGTGACATGGCCACAGGGGGGCTGTGAGTGGGGGGCTGGCGGCCGTAAACGAGTAACAAAATATAAACGAGAAAATCACATTTCCTCCTGTTCTGAAAGTGGCCGTGGCACAGTCTCACTCGCCCCTGTTACAGACAGTGTTAACCCTCTTCTTTCCCCTTCTCTGCCGGTACCTGGGAGACATGATGATCTACTTTTACATTTTCATCACCAAAATACCTTTGCGGGCATGGAGCAGGGGAGGGAAAGGCGGGACCGTCTTGCTGGCTAATGCTGGGTGCTGCCCTTTCCTTACACCGGTGAACCCCTCAGGGGAGCGACCGCTGCAGCCAAACGACTGCAGGGAGCAGGAACACGCAGCCGGGGAGCACGTGGGGCTGCCGGCGCTAATCAGAAGTGTGCCCTGAGCACGGCGTGCAAGCAAAGGGAGAGGGTTTTAATGATGGATTATCAGCACAGCCTCCTGTCTCACCGCCCGCCCGGCCAGCTGATGCCCAGAATGAAAACTGCTCTGGTTCTCCAGGGTCGCAGCTGGAGGAAGCTCTGGCACCCGCTGGCGGAGGAGCGATCTCAGAGGGTTTGGCCCACGCCAGATTTGGTGGCCACATGGTGTGTTCTGGGAGGGGCTGGTGGTGCCCGGGCCAGGGGTGCGGGATGAAGGGGATGGGGATCCCCTGATCCCCCACCCAGCAGGATCCCCCGCAGCTGGGCAAGCGAGGAGCTTCCCTGCCCGGCGTGCTCCCGCTCCCCGGCGCTCACCTGAGCAGTGCTTCTGCAGGCGGAGGATCTCCAGGTGCAGGTCATGGAGCAGCTCCATCTGCTCCTTCTTCAGGAAAGCGATGTGCCGCTGCACGCTCTGGATCTGGTGCTCCAGGGACGTGGTCTCCATCGCAACCAAACTCACCGTCCAGGCCTGCGGGGAGCGGAGACGGCTCGTGATCAGACACGCAGCAGCGCCCGGGGCTGGCGAGCCCTGTCCCTGCGAGGGGCAGAGCCCGCCGGGTGCAAGGGGGGTGACTGCTCTCCTCCAGCCCTTCCGCGGGGACGCGGCTGCTCTGCTCGGCAGAGCCCCAGGGAGCGGCCCCCGAGCCCCCCCCGCCGC